ATCTCAACTAAGGGAGCCATTTTAGGGTTTGAAAGAGACTTGATTCTGGAGGGGTTCCCAGGTCCAAGGAGAGGTCCCCAGATTGTTCTCTGGACAGAGGAGAGGGTGCCTGAACTGGCCTTGGCCCATAACCATACTGATGAATATTTTGCATATCACCATAGAACCTTCATCTGGCGATGGATGGAGATAGAGACAGAGACCCACATTGGAACACTGGACTTAACTCCCTAGGTCCAAATGAGAAGCAGAAGGAGGGAGAACGTGAGCAAGGAAGGCAGGATCATAGGGAACCTTCATCCGACGATGGATGGAGATAGAGAAGAATTATATATCTTGATAGTTTCAATTTTTTGGTATGTGTAGTGTATGTGTTCATACAAATATATGGGCATATGTGCTGTGCATATGTATGTGTTGGCCAGAGCTTGACAACAGGTGTCTTCAACTATCGCTTTCTCCTTTGGAGACACACATTTCACTGAACCCAGAGCCCACTAGTTTGTTTAAAATGGTTATACAGTGAGCTTCAGAGATCTGCCTGTCTCTGCTACCCATCTTATGCACTGAAGTGATAGACATGCATGGCCATGCCCAGCTTTTTCATGGGTGCTGAAGATTCAGACTCAGACCCACAAGTGTTCACAGCAGGCACTTTACTGACTTGAGTCATTGCTCGACATCACTGAGTAGTGATATTAATGCAAAATTACCAGCATGTGCTCAGCATGTGGGGGGATGAAGGGGAATAAGAGGATTGAAGAGAGTAGGAGAGCTTTGTACTTAAAAGAATGAAGCAGATTGGACAGAGACATGTAGTAAGGCTTTTGAGTGGGCTAATTTAACCTTGCATGTTATACATTTACCATGGAAATCATCTATAGTGAGACCCCTTTCATCAGCAATTACCTGCTTAGGTTCAGGCACAGAGGAAATATAAGTTAGATTTACATAGGAACATGGTAAATTTATTTTATTGAAAATAAATTCTCCTCTCAATCTCCCCTCCTTCCACTCCTCCCCACTTTCCCCAAACTCCCCTCTTCCCCAGTTTCAGTCGCCCTCTGTTTCTTCTTTACAAAAGAAGAGACCTCTATATTTTGAAAAGTTATGATCAAACGGACAGTGGGCACCTGAGTTTGGGAGGGAATGTAAGGTGGTCTTGGTGGAATAAAGATAGAAATAAGGGAGAATCTGACTCATGTACTTGGAAAAGAAATATTGGTCTGTGAACTAAAAGTTTTTCCAAGCTGAAAAATAATCACTTGCAATACTTAAAATCATAAGCTTGGAGCAAAGTAGAATGGTAGAAGGTAAGTATGTATTTGTAATTTTGTATGCTTGCCTCACTGTCTTCATATAGTAAGCTTCAAGCAAATGAGGAGGGCTAAAGAGATCTTGAAGAATGAGTGTCTCACTTTCTTTCAAGGTGTGAAGTGGTTTGGGGGGATAGAAGGTACCAGCCATTCTAAACAACTCATTGAATACTCTCATGGTCACACCGTCTGCGGATGTCAATCATTCAAGTGTTGTGAACAAGGTCTACCCTCTTCTTCTAAAGTTCCAATGACAAACCAATGTATGAGCTCACCAGTGTTTGTTCTGGGGAACCAGTGAGTATATCATGCTTGCTTATACATTATGAGTGGCTTTACAACAAGTAAGTCATTTTATCCCCTGAGGTCAGCTTGGCTTCAGTTATCCAACAGTGATTAAACTAGTTATGGAACAAGGTACCTTTCTTCATCTAGAAGTTTTGCAGGAAGAATAGTGCATACTGTTGAGAGAAGGAAACAAGTTTCACCAAGAGGGACTCTACTTCAGGACACTGTGGTGATACACAAAGCATATTGGATAAGTTGGCATCACTGGGCCTTGCAGATGTCACACGGGAGTAAAGCTGTGTGAGTGTCATCATAAAAACAGCACTTCCAAAAACCTCAGAAGCTCCTTCAGTAGATATTTCCTCTTGTTTAACAACCTCAAGGATTTTGAAAGCCCCAAAGAGGGACACTGAAGCATTGGAATGTTGTCACAAATTATTTATCACTTCCTAATGTTGTAGCTGCAATGCTTAAAAGTAGGTTGATGGTTCTATATGTTTTCTCTATGGAATGTATATGTATGAGACCTTCAACCAAGGATAATTAGATGAGGTTCTTCCAAAGTATGCTATGCAAGGTTCAGACACTAAGGGTATATAAAAAACAAATGGTAACATTGTATATGTGGTTTCTTGGATATCTGAGAATAAAATGATATAAACTTCAAACCATCTTTATACACATTGCCAAGTGGCCATCTAATTCAAATTTTAAGTTACAGGTTCTGTTAAAATAAGACAGCTTGCTTTGATTTTATGTGACTACCTGGGGCTAATGAGTCCAGAGCTGCATGAAGAGTTCACAGCCTCATTGCCATAGGTCAACAGTGGCCTTGGGCCTCAGTGAACTGGTTGTTCTATCACGCTTGGGGTGTTCTACTCATCTGCTTGATCAAAAGAAGCTCTGTACCAAGACCATACTCTCCTATGTAGGATGAAAAAAGATGAGAAGGTCAAGAAAGACCTATTCTCTTTACAGGCTAGCTTCAAAGATAAGAGATAATGCTGCCATTTGCATCCCCTAATCCAGAACTTTAATAACATGCTTCATGGAGCTGAAAGGACAGTCTGAAACACCATCTTCAAATACAGGTCTTCATTTTACCTGGCTATGTACCCAGCTATGTTTCCTTGATTTCCACAGTGTCTGAAGCTGATGGCTTGTCATCTCAGCCATATCACCTCCAAAGATAATTCACCCTTCTACTGGTAACACATGAAAACCATACATTACAATTCTTATTTCTTTTCCTTTGCTCCATCAATAGAAACAAGGGCAGGAAATACTATGCCTTGTCTGTTTTCAGAATTGGGTGCAAGATGGAAGCTCAGGAAATGCCTAAAATGATGATTTGGATAGATGCCCATGACCATGTCAGCACTGGTACCGTAAGCAAAGTTGGATTTAGGCAAATATTATACAAACAGAAACTATGGGGTTTATTTTGATGAGAACACTCTAATGTCACTTAGGAAAGTGTCAGGCTTAGGTTCAACACAGCTGTCAAAAAGAACAATACATACAAGTAGACCTATTGCTTAGGATTAAGATGTGCATTTATTGCTCCTCAGTTTGGGGAGGAGGGATGCAAAGCACCACTACTTTTAAACCAGGGAATTGGAATTTGTTGCAATAAAGGTTTTCAGTCTGCCCAGAAATGAGAAAGCTCTGGCTAAAAATAATTAAAAATAACTTTAAAAGAGAAAATTTAAGGTTGAAACATGACTTTAATCTGCAACATAAATATGAAAATGATTCTTCTGAAGACAAAGTACTACTAAAAATTGTATCAAAAATAAACATTGTACCAGGCATGGAGGTCTATTTCTGTAATCTCAGCCAACATAGGCAGAAGGATCATGAGTCTGAAGCTAGACTGGAACATGTAGCAAATTAGAGGCTTTACAGCAATTTGGAGGAGTTAATGTCCGGCTTTAAAAGTGAAACCTTGTCAGGCCAAAATTTGAAAAATAAAAGAAAGGCATCCTTAGTTTTGGAAAAAAAATAAGGATAACAACTTATCTAAACATATATAAGCGTCCACTGGTAGAAAAGAGAAATATGAGATTTGTCAGTAAATTCTACCACTAATGCAGGTCAGTGGTTTTCTATGGTGGTAGATTTATTGAATGCCAGTAGATTCACAAACTACATTGACTACACCAGCTTTACTTATCTGAATACTCTCGGTTTCACTTGGGTTCATGACAAGAGAAATTGCAAATTTTCATTACATTTCAAATTGACTATTAGTATTCATAATATTCAAATCACATATCTACAAATTATTGAAATCTTTAAAAGGTTTAAAGAGACAATAGGAATAAAAAAGCAAATTAGAGTATCATTGTGAAGAGTCAGGACAGATATCTAGCTCTTGAGTTAATGAACAGATCATAGAGGTTAATGATGAGGGCCCAATGGTGTGGAAATGGGCAGCACTGATGCCAGGCAGGAATATGTTGAGCTGAACCGGAGGATCGTTGAAAATTTGTCTCTTGGCAATCTCCAAGTCAGAGGCTATCCCAATAACACTGAGTGACCCACAGCAAAGAGATAGGTTGGTATACTAAGTTTCCATCTACAGTGCCTTTTCTTAACTGGGCCTGTGTGTCTTTTGACCACACTTGAAATTCCATATATTTGGTGTGTTCAACATCTGGGGGTTATCTTCCTATTGTATCTCATCCTGTTATGTGTCTTAATAAATCTTCTAAGTGACGGTGGGTCTGGTCATCCATAACATCCAACTGTACAATTAAGATGCAAAGTCCTTTTTTTATTTTTTCGAAACAGGGTTTCTCTGTAGCTTTGGAGTCTGTCCTGGAATTAGCTCTTGTATACCAGGCTGCCTTTGAACTCACAGAGATCAACACTCGCCTCTGCCTCCTGAGTGCTGGGATTAAAGGCATGCACCACCACTGCTCGGCTAAGTATCTGCTTTATACACTCAGAAAAAAAAAAGGGAAAGGGAGAAAAGAGGAAAAGAAAGTCAGAAAGGAGAAAGCAAAAGAAGTCAGCTTGAGGATCACAATGCAGGAGGAAAGAGGAAGAAGCCAACAGCAAGAAGCTGAAGTAGTGTGACTCTCCATATTTTGCATTCCAGGCTTAAGCAGAACAGACCCAATCCTACCTAGAGGAACACACATAATAGAACTCTTTGGGACTGTGTTCTCCTACACTCTTTTATCCCTGAGTGTTTTCAAGACACCAAAAACAAAAGAAAAAAACGGGGGAGGGGCAAAGTCTAGTATGACACAGGTACTGTTTGTTCTCGTTCTTGGTTTCTAATTCAGAATTTATTTCTGGTGCTCCGTTGGTTCAGCCCTTCAATTGTATTTCAGTCAGCAAATGTAAAAAAATGTAGTTAAAATTGTTTCTCATGGTTTTCTACAGAAAACATACACAGAAGAAATCAAATTTCAGACTACATGCAGAAAATAGAGATGTTCAATATTGTGAGAAAATGGTAGGTTTATTTATTTATTTATTTGTTATTTGTCTTTCTGTATATATATATATATATATATATATATATATATGTCTTTTTTAATCCAAGTTAGTGTTAAGTCTTTTGAAGGATGCTTAGCTTGTAACAAGGGTGCTGAGAGCCCTGAGCCAACCCTTCTATCTTATCTTATCTTGTCCGTTTTTCCGTCCGTCCGTCCGTCCATCCATCCACCCACCCACCCACCCACCCACCCACCCATCCATCCATCCATCCATCCATCCATCCATCCATCCATCCATCCATCTATCTATCTATCTATCTATCTATCTATCTATCTATCTATCTATC